AGTGGCATTTTTGCAAATGAATACCAAAAATAACATTTTTGCAAATGTGGACACAAAATGTGGCATTTTTGTAAATGTCCCAAGTCTAGCATATGCAGTAAGTCTGCGCAATCTACATTAAAACATGTTGGGATTAAGAAATTATCAAATCATGAAATCTCCATGGGATTAATTCAACCAATCAATTATTATTATAAAAAAAAACCTTAAGGAAATTGCATAAATAAAATGCCATTATAAGGAAAGAAAAAAATGATAATATATAACTCTTACAACGAGGACATGAGACACTCAATGTGATTTGGTATTACAGTTAACTCTTTCTCAAGATCGAATCCAACTTCATCAAGTCGCATAATCTCGTCTCATGCAATTCCTCCAAACTTAACTTCTCTGAAACTGTTTTTCTTGGGATCAAAATAACCAACTGAGAACGATTCATACAAACTCTTTTCCCTAGAAATAAGTCCATTTGTTCTATGATCAGGATAAGTACATGTTGGTGTATAAACAAGGTCGTTCTTCCTATGTTATAAAAAAGGCATTCGTCTACGGCCCCTGATAATATTGTATAATTTTAGTGTCCCATTTTTCCAAAAATTAGTTGTAGTCTAGTAGTAAAAATTAAGGTAAGAGAATTTTTCGAGATTTTCATCCAAAATTCAAAACTATTTTCATGCTAAAATAAGAGTCTGTTTTTTTTAGTAAATTTCATTAGTTTTTATTGGCACTCTAACAATTATTTGAAATTAAATTATAACTAGATGATTATCCGTGCATACGCGCGAGTTTATGTTAACAAATTTTATTTTATTGATTTTTTGACAATTTGATTACAAATCATTTTAACAAAATTAAAAGTTATATTAAAAAAAAAAACGTTTGTGGTATATCTACATAGTTTGAGTTTAACAAAATTTAGCGCTTTTATGAGAATAGAAACCTTCAAAAAGCGATTTTTGAAACACAAGAATGGGTTGATATTAACCGTGGAACATCGCTTGTTTCGACCACTCCGGCTGTAACACCCCTGATCAGGATTGGTCGCGCAACAATCAAATAAGAACATGCGCAACCAACCATAAAACCTAAACCAGACCAAAGATGCTATATATGTGCACTTGGCCGTTTATTCTAAGGTTCCAAAAACACATTTAAGAACCCTAGACTAGACATCTAAGTACACATTTCCTATCGAACACAACCCAAGGCTTTTCAACCCGAGTTATGAGCGATAGTTGGTTCATCCTGGATTAGGATTAGTATCATATGCAACCCAAGTTTAAACAAACTTCTTTTTATA